GTGTTTACTGACCTTGAAACAATTTTATGTGGTACACGGCGCTCGAAAATCTGTCAAATATTTTAGTACGACTTTGCTAACCTACGACGCCGCACCGCTCGATGGATTGTCAGAGCATTACAGCTATCATAGGCAGGAGCCTCGCGGAGTGATACGTACTGTGCTTCAACATAATATTACCGTATTGTGTGTGTGTATAACCTCTTTTTAAGTTTTGTGGATATTAAACATGGTTATGCTGAGGATATGTCGGCCAATTTCCACTGGATATGCCTTTTGGTTAAACTGTCAGCAAGGCATTTGCATTTGCACTGTTACATTTTTATATAACTTTAATGCACATAAAAAACAGCTGCTTGTTTAAGTGAAAATACATTGATGTTTTTTTTTTTTTGCACTAATAAATTTGTGGAGTTGTAAAGTATTTTGTCTAGTGTCAATTATATCGTCAGTTATATCGTTATCGCAAATTTTCAAATGCATATCGTGATAAATATTCTTGGTCATATCGCCCTGCTCTAGTGTTGACACACACCTGAATGCCCCAGACCTGCAAACTACCAAAACTTCTGTTGTTATAGAGCTGTGCACACTTGCTGATGATCAATTAAACAATTGCATTTCATTAGCAAATTACATAATCATGTCACATAGTCACATAAAATGTGCCTAAATTATTTTGTTATGTTGACCTCGAGGTCAAATATAGTTGTCATGGGTAAATGTTGCGATCTTATATTAATATTTTTAAGCCACTACTTTCTTTGTCACTGCTCATACATAATATGTAACAATAATAATAATAAAGATGGATGGATGGATAAGTAACTTTGTAATGTAGTTACTCAAAGATATGGAGAAACATATGGAGAAAATAGCCACCTAATATGCTGCCTTTGCAGATAAATTTAGCAAATAGCTTTGAAACAGTGCCACATTGTTCTCCACTGAACTTAACTGTAAGAGTTTTGAAACTCTTGCCAAATCATTTACACTGCAACTTTAAATAATGAAAAAAAAAAGTAGAAATTGGAGATGGTGGGTAGAGTGCTACTGAGGAGGCAGAACAAAAAAGGGATTGTGCAGGTGATGGGGGAAAACAACAAAGCCTTTACTATAGATTTTCCAACAAATTAATCACTGTGCGGGATAGTGAATAACAACAGCAAAGCAAAGAAAGGCCCTGACTGTGTGGGTGAGATGCTCCCTTGCCATTTTGTCTTCAGTGGGTTTTGAAATAGAGGACCTGTCAATTTGTGTTCCTTCTTTTAATGCCCCTAGTTAATCTTGAGGAAGGTGGAGTCTGTAATGTACCTAAAAAGGGCAAGTTTCTAATTGAGTAAACTATCTTACTAGAGTTTATTGCCCCCTCAGGGCCAATTTAGCTTACAGGCAGCAATCAGCAGTAGTGAAAATACTGCAATCAATCAATCAATCAATCAATACTATACATGCAAACATAAACAGTTATTACACAGATTACGGCAGTATCCGATTTATTATTGACACTCCTCACAATCTCACACCCAGAGCTGGCGACAGTTCAAAAACAAATTACATTTTGTTTATATAGACTTTCTGTTATTGTCATTAATACAACGACTGCATCAATGTAGATTTTGAATAATGTTATTGATACATACTTTTACAACACTCTCGGATTATCCTGTATAGAAAATAGTCCAATGATTTGATTGTTTAACAATTTGATAATAATCATCGTCATTAAAAATAAACTGGTTTTTATAAACGGTAATGAATGGGTGTTGTAAGAGTACTGTCTCGGAAACATCAAGCAAATGAACTAAAATGAATAAAAATAATAGGGAACCAAAGAGCAGCAGCATCAGTTGGGAAGCTAATGACAAAAAAACACTCTTGCAAGGCTTTGATCAGCATGCATTTTTATTATGTGGATTAAAATGTATACCTAAGTGCACCAATGCGTGTTGAAAATGTGTCCTTTACAAATGGAGGGACGGGAAAAATTAATAGCGTGTTGTTTTTGATTAGCTGTGAGCACTTATTGTGATGTATAGCTTACACATGGCAGGCATAGACTGAAATTAACCATCCTTCTCCAGATGGAGGTTCGTGTGTTGAGAGCAGTGACTCAGTCTTTGTGCACAGGTTGCTGATTTTTTCAAAGATGGGTGAGACATCAGATTTAACAAGGCATTTGAAAGTGCTTTGCATGCATTTAAGAGCAGAGGCTTGCTTCACTAGCTAACATTAAGGCTTGTCAAAAAAAAAAAAGAATCTGGGCAGCGTAGCTTATTGACGCCATCCCAACCATCGAAACACTGAAATATTATTGCAGTGTGATTGCTAAGGGCCAATAATTCCAACATTCTCTCTTCTGAGTTGTCAAAATGTTTGTTTTTTTTCCAGTAGATGCTCATACTCAATACCTTTTAAGGAATAGAGAAAGGCAAACAGACCAAGTTCAGTAACTACAAAGTTTTCCAGATAATTTCATTTGTTTTACAAGTGATGCCCTCCAGTATGTAGTCTGAACCAAACATTAATAAATGGACATTGGTAGCTTATGTAACTGCGGCAAGTGTAATAAATAAATAAAACTGAGGAAATGTAAACCAATAAAGGAATTAAATCAAGAAGGAGAGATGCAGTTGCAACAATTGCAGTATGTTGATTCTAAACTATTGGTTGAGATTTAGAGAAGTGGAGCAGCCGTTCCATTTTTGTGGTATGAAACATATGAATTCAGATTTTGAGCTGCTTAGCTTTTTGCTGTTACTCTGCAACCTACAAAATTGTTTTTTTGTCATTTGGAAAGGACAATCTGACATTTTGGTTGCTTTTTTGATGAGTAATGACTTCACTAGAAATGTATTTTCATATATCTGGGAGCTGACAAAGGCTGCATACGACCTTTTGCCCCTAATGTATAGACGCTAACTCCTGTTGCTCTTTTCTGCCATCATCTTTGTTCACACAATGTTAAAAGGTCACATGAAAAATGCATGAAGATGGCTTAAGCATCTTACCACTCGTGCATGAGGAAGTCAGTACACAGAGTCTCCTCTGTCAGACAAGGGGAAGGATCTCAGTAGGCTAGCTAAGACGGTCGGCCTCCAAGGGGGTAAAAATAACTGATTCATTTTTTAAAAGGTTCACGAAAAAACTACTCAAGCTTTTATGTGTTGCCAGTCACTCGCTGGTATGTCATACTCCTCTTGAACTCGGCAGCTTAAAACAACCACTCTCCAGATGTTGTGTGTGCGGGTTGTTTTAAGATTTTATGTATTCATGTTTATGCCCCAAAGATTTGCAAGATTCGTTTGTTAACCATTCTTACCAGATGAAGTTGTGCCATTAAGGTTTGATAAAGTGAGAAAAAGAGAGCAGTGTTTGTTTGTGCCAGTTACTTTGGTCGTAGCCCAGACTAAGGGTAAGTACAACCTCTAGCCTCTGACCGGTGTGACAAAACCTCCCAAAAACGAACAAAATCAGAAAAGAAAGGAAAAATAACATTTACAACCCTAGTGCTAAACCTAATTTATTCCTAAATTTTGGAAGGCAGTAATGAACTTTTGGGGAAAAGATTTCAATGGTTTTTGATGGGAGTCAGAATGAAGAATTTAGCTGTTCGCTGCTTGCTGAGATTTAGGAAAACAGTTGAATTAAAACAAAAATTTTAAATGCTGATGGTTTAAAGTTAGGGTTTGGGTTACAGTTGCTGTATACTTGTAGTATATATTTTTGCGATTAGTCGACTAATCAGATCAAGCATCCATTGGATGTAAAACGTACAGCTTATTGCACCAGCATGTGTCTGCTCTTATATAACTATCATTAGCTTACAGCTTTAAGTGTTTAAGGTATGTGCTAACTAAAAATAAAGACAAGATGATAGTTTATTAAATTTTAATGAAATTTGCAGATTGTTTCGGTGAAGTTTAATAAACTCCTTGCTATCTAAAATATAACAGGAGTAAATTCTCGAGCATCTCACATTTCTGATAATCAGTTGTCTTCTTGATGTTTATTCAGCTGTGTAAAAACTATAACTTTAATCTCAGCCAAACCGATTTACTCAGGAACAAATAAAATACTAAAAAAGCCAAACAATAACATTTTGAAGTTATCTAAGTGACATATATATTTAACCTGAGTAGCGAAAGACGGCGGTGGGTTTGAAAACGATCTGCCGGGAGTCCGGTGTTCTCACGGGCTCTAGTGAGCCTTGCCCCCGGCTAGCTATCGAGCTAGTGGGTAACAGACGTATCCGAAATTTTTTGAAAATATGTGGTGTCTTGATAAACTGAGCAGATATTTGAGGTTTACACAGCTACATTCTCGCCTGAAAATATGTTAAACGTTTATTTTGTGACCCAGAAAGAATAATAAGAGTAATATTAAAACTAACTAGCTGCCGCCATTGTTATAAACTGAGCTGGGCTGCGCTATGAATTCTGGGACACAGCTTCTTCTTCTTCGGGGTTTAACGGCAGCTGGCATCCTTGTACATGCAGTGCTGCCATCTTCTGTTTCAGTCCGTTATTACACTCTTAAATCCTACTACTTATTCCTGCGTCTTTTGTGAGCTTACAAAGCTTCAAACGACGCGTCGACTATTAAATCAGTCATCTACGATTTTGATAGTTGATGTAATCGTAACTAGTCGACTAATCGTGGCAGCCCTAGTTAATAGACACATTTTAGAATATAAAATTGTGTAATACAACTTCTTTTTGTAAAATATGGAACACATTTCACAATAGTATTAGAAATACTCATTTGTCTCCACATTATAAGCATTTGTGAAGGTAGGTCTTCTTCAATTTACTATGGATTTTTTTCTTTGGTTACAAATATAATCTCTTTGTATTACATTATAAAATATTTTTTTCTAGATTTCGACTACATATGTTTTATATGTAACCGAAACATATTCTCCAGTCTTTTAATAGCCATCATGTCTTCAGTTGTCTTTGTCTCTAAATACACTATTTCGTTCCCTAATTCTTTCTCAGTGGTCGTGTGAAACCAATGCTTGGCCGGTTCAGTGAGCTTGAAGACCTGCTGTCAAACATGAACGTTAAGCCAGGCAGCATTGATGCTGTCCTGTTGGATGCTGGCTGTTCCTCCATGCAGATGGATGAGGCAGAAAGAGGCTTCTCCCTGAGCAAAGATGGACCATTGGATATGAGAATGGATGGAGACAGGTAAAAGATTTGATACATACATTGGTTGGCTTATTGTGATATGCTGGATAATCAGAAGCGCTTGTGCGGTATTAATCAGTGTAATAATGTGAAAGTGCAGATAGTACAAAAAGGCGTACCTAAAATGGGTTACCAACAGCATGGGTCCAATTAATGTTATTTGTTTCTCCTATAAGTGATGACCTGAAGGCGTGAAAAAATGTTTGTTTGTTTTTTTTAAACAATGAAAACAAACCCATTTTCAGTCGACCTCTAGTGGTTATGTTAAAGAAAGCGTTCACCAAAAAAACTTTTGTCCTGTTCCTACATTGAACATTTGCAGAGTGTTTGTGAAGCAAAACTAACCCTCCAATCTGATCAATGAAACTGGCTGTGCCAGGCATGAAAGCACTTTGCATTACAAAAGTTCTATTCTTTTTATATTGTTTATCTTAGATGTGCTCGGGACTTGTACACAGTAACAGGGCAAAAAGTAAACTGATGGTATATGTAAGAAGGGAGCTAGCATTGCGATTTAATTAGGTAAGTTTGTAGTTATACCCTTTAGATAATTTACTGTAATTAGTAGACGTTAACATACCCATGTTACACAATCTCAGCAAGGAACTCATTCACTGAGATTGTGATTGGGCTAACATAAAAAAAAACACAGTACATTCAATTCTTCCACAGATGTCAGCATCAGTGTACTAATGCCTCAGTCACACTTAGCGACTGGGCTAGCTACATTTGAGTTCCCTGACTGATTGGTGAGTGGTTGATGGCAGTCACAAGGTAAATTTGTCCCAATGAGATGTATGGTGCAATTGCTGTGGTTATGCACTGATTACCATGGTTCGCTCTAGTATCCATGGGAAACTTTGTTTACAAACTACTGTAGCTACGTTCTGAGTTGTAGTGAAACTGAACAGAGGCACACAAAAACATGTTAAAATGTGTTGGCTACAGTGGTGAAAAGCTCTGTTATTTTATGTTTCCATTTTTCCTCAGTGAATTGTTGTCTCCAGGACCTGTTACGTCCATACGACCTGTTTACGTCCATGTGACTGGGACCTAAACCTTTCAGAAGACATTCTAAAACCCTTATTCTAGCCTAATTTAGCCATTCCTTTACCACGTTTGATGTGTGTTTGGGGTCATTGTCCTGTTGGAACACCCAACTGCGCCCAAGACCCAACCTGTGTGCTGATGATTTTAGGTTATGTTGAAGAATATGAAGGTAATCCTCCTTCTTCATTATCCCATTTACTCTCTGTAAAGCACCAGTTCCATTGGCAGCAAAACAGCCCCACAGCATAATACTCCCACCACCATGCTTGATTGTAGGCATGGTGTTCTTGGAGTTAAAGGCCTCACCTTTTCTCCTCCAAACATATTGCTGGGCATTGTGGCCAAAAAGCTCGATTTTTGTTTTGTCTGACCACAGAACTTTCCTCCAGAAGGTCTTATCTTTGTTCATGTGATCAGCAGCAAATTTCAGTCGAGCCTTAAGGTGCCGCTTTTGGAGCAAGGGCTTCCTTCTTACACGGCAGCATCTCAGTCCATGGAGATGCAAAACCCGTTTGACTGTGGACAATGACACCTGTGTTCCAGCAGCTTCTAATTCTTGGCAGATCTGCTTTTTGGTGATTCTTGGTTGACTCTTCACCCCCCTGACCAATTTTCTCTCAGCAGCAGGGGATAGCTTGCGTTTTCTTCCTGATCTTGGCAGTGACGAAACAGTGCCATGCACTTTATACTTACAAACAATTGTTTGCACTGTTGCTCTTGGGTCATGCAGCTGCTTTGAAATGGCCCCAAGTGACTTTCCTGACTTGTTCAAGTCAATAATTCGCTTTTTCAGATCCATGCTGAGGTCCTTTGACTTTCCCATTGTAGCGTTTGTGGGCGTTTGTATCCAACGAGCCCTATTTAACTGGTCTAAGAGAAGTCACCAGCTGTAGTCACTCATAATCACTCACAAGAAGTTAAGAGGCTATGCTATGAAGCTCAGTTCGCTGACAACTTTCTAAGTCACCAAAATTGCTAATTCATGTTGCTGTATGTATATTTTTGACCCAGCAAATGTCATCACTTTTTTCTGTTAACCCATAATAAAGTCATTAAACAATCAAACTTCATGAATGTTTTTTCTGACAAAGAAGTATCTGTTCCAATCACTCTATCTGAGAAAAATCAGAGTTTTAGAAATAACAGGACACTCAGTAGAGCCATTATATTATATTCTTTACAAGTGTATGTAAACTTTTGACCACAACTGTATTTTCCAAACCAAAAGATCAATTTCTCCCTTTTGGTCTTATCCAATAAAGTATGTATTTCCCAAGTAGTAAAATGTACTACATTATGATTTGAAACCTAATTGCAGACAAAGTATGTTTAACATTTATCGATCTAAAATGTGTCAGTTTTTATATATTATTTTATAGAAATATCCATATTCCTTCCCGAATATTTTCAGAAACATTTCTGCATCACTTTAAAATGTCAGCATAATCCACAAAGAAACTCCTTTACAAGCTGATGCAAAAGCTGCTTTTCTCTTTTCCTTCCCTCACAATCATTCTATTCATGACTGTCATAAAGGTTTTCAGCTGTAGCTCAGAGTTGTCAGGATTCACCACTGTCAGCAAGGACATGACGTCAAGCGACTTAATTGGGCTTCTCTTTGTGCGTAGGTACCCCGACATGCCCTGCGCCGCTGACGTTGTGAATACCTTAGATCAACAGGCTCTTGCATCCATCCTCACTGCATATGGGGAAGAAAGACACGCCAGGAAAATAGCTTCAGCCATTGTGGAGGCACGCCGTGTCAGCCCCATCACCCGGACACAGCAGTTGGCCAGTGTGGTTGCAGGTAAATAGACACCACCCTGATTAATTCCCTGCAGCATTCAGGAGGCTATAAGGGAAAATAAAAAAGGAGTGGAGTTATTAAGGCTGTCTCCCAGTGGGATGTGTGTGTCTCAGAAAATTATGTGAACTGTGATCTCAGTCATCATCCTCTCTTCTGCCTCTGTTTTGGGTGTTTTTATTCCACCATCCTTGGAGAGATAAAGATGAGGCAGAAACTGAGTTGTAGATGGCTGGAATAAAATGTATGCCTAACTCACATGCAGGAGCCCATCTCTCTCCTTCCACACTGCCTACCTTTTTTGTTTCCTTTCCCCCTCTTTTTTCCCAGTCTTTTCTTTGCTCACAAATACAGACATACACCTGACACAAATGCAAACACCCACATGCACTCACAAACGACACACGAGTTGCATACAACCGGGGTTAGATTATTTGTCTTCGATGATTGTCTTTTTTCCTTTTTTTTCCTCTTAAGCCTTATGACTCCACATTTGAGATGCTGAATGGGAGAGATGTCGTTGCAACAGTTATTGCACAGAGCAGTATGTGCGTCAGTGTCACCCTGGGAGAACAGGTGTGAGTAAGAGCAGCTGTTTGATGCTTTTTGAAGAGCAAAGCGAGCTACCACCAGTGTTTATTGGGAACAATCTAAGAGGTCTGGTTTTTTTAAGAAAGTTCCAGGGGGAGCTCTCTGACCAGTTGTGGCAGTGATACTCGGCATCATTTTCAGAATAAATGACGATTTTTGTTGTTTTTTTTTTACATGGACACAACAAATAAGTTCTGCAGAATGTTTTTAACTTTCATTTGTTTTCAGTCATTAATTTACTGAAATTTTATAGCAATAGGTAAACAAAGAATCAAAAAGAATCAAAGAATCAAAAACAAAGGTGCCTCCTTTTTCAAACAGAACCATAAGATCTTTTCAGATTTATAAATTTTGAATTAGAAATGTATTTATTTTAACTAATAAATTGATTTACAAACCTTATTTTTCCAACAAGCTTTTTGTTTTTTAGATTTTAGATTGAGAGTTGATTGGTGGTTGTATTTACGACAGAGGTTTAAAAATGCTTTCTAAAGCTGTTATCGTGATTTGGTGCTGTATATCTAAAATTAAATTTGTGTTGAATGGAATTGAATTGATATGACACACATATGTAAGAGCACAGGGATTCACAGAAAATATTGCAAATGGACAAAGCTCCTGTAATGACAGGTTTAAATATGGTTGTGTGATGACATCACGTCAGTGCACAAAGCGACCAATGTGGTGAGCATAAATTGGCCATGGCGACATGGCTACAGGGCGTAATCGCTCCCGCTCTTTGTTTCCCACAGGAGCAGCTCATGATCTGAAACATATCACATCATCTGTCAAACATGGTGGAGTCAATGTTATAGCACGGGCATGTGTGGCTGTCGATGAAACTGAGTGATAATGTGACTGCTGATAGAGGAGGCAGGATGAACTGTGTGTAGAGGGCTACACTCTCTGGTCAGATTCAGTCAAATGCTGCAAAACTGTATAAACAGCTTACTGTAAAAAACACTGTGTATAAAAGTGTGTATAAAAATGGCTATGATAATTTCTTAACCTAATGCAATACTTTTAATAAACCTCTTAAATCAAAATCGATAATTTGTAGTTAAATCACATTTTGATTGTTTGATTTAAAATCTGCCAAAACATTAACATTGCTTTGGTTCACTCTTAACTACCTGATTCTCCTTCATGTACACATCATAATCTCTTCTGTTCTCAATGGATCTGTCTTCAGGACCTTTTGAAAGATGAATTAGAGAGGGTGCACATGGCTTGGTGAGGCTAGCCCTGGGCTGGTCCTTGCTGTGCAGGCATTGTATTGATTGCAGTGTGAGTCACACCTTGGGCTGTTCAGTGCAGGAGGAGAGAAATGCCACATCACTCACTTCTCTATTTATTGCGGTTTCTTTTTTGGTCTATGTAAGTGTCTAATTGTTCTTGTCTCTTCTGTGTTGTGGTTGGTTAGAGGCACTAAAAGCTCTTCACTTGTTTTAATGCAAAAAGAAAGATTTTGAAACTTTAATATGCAGCAAATAATCAGTTTTTAGTTTTTGCTTTAATACCCACATGATTTGATTGATTTGACATGACTGATTTGCACATTAGCTCTGTGCATTCTGCACCCTGTATATGTTACTCGTGCACAGTTTGGTAAGTGCAGTTGCTCTGGAAACTTTAAATATTTGGTGAGTGTCTGCCGTTTACAATGCTCTGTATGGCACATGCATTTTGACCACAGGCTCAAATAAATTAAAGGGGTACAAGAAGTTTTGTAAGAAAAAGATTTCTTCCTCTGAATGTCAGGTGCAAATTATTCAGGAGTGCAGAAATGTTACGGCAGCTTGATTTATTTTATTCTAGGAAATGTTTTCATTCAACGGGTTTCTTTTATTTTCCTGAAGAGAGAGGATACCGGGAGTTATTTTAACATTTCCAGTGTTATTCTCATAAGGATAACACCTTTGGGCTGTTGAAGTCACAACGATCAGTGTGTAGATTGGTAATGTGTTAGCAGATAAGTAGTATGGCATGAACCCACTCTGTTTTTAAGATGCTATGCTTGATCTGCTTTACTTGTCAGTATTTCTCTTGTCTGTTCAACTTCCCAGTCACACAGGCCTAAAGACCACTGAGAACCACTGGTCACTAATAAGGGTGGGTTTAAATTATCAAATCAAACTGATTTTAGCTTGAATAGCGCAATATCGACTCATTAAATCCTGAATCTATTTTTAAATATAAATGTATTTAGGCAGAAATTCCAGAATCTCAGGTTAGAGTTCACAAAACTATTTCAGCAACCACCAAACAGCTAAAACAGCAAATGAGAGCAGGTAAACGGATTCCACACAAAGATGCAAACACAAAGCGAGTGTCGTTCACCCGTTGGGGCTGAAAGCCGACATCTCACAGATTCTAAACTTGCAGCTTTTGTCACTCTCCGACCAAAATTCACTGAAACAGCAGCAAAAGAACATAAAGACTATGCTCCACGTTTGAAAAACATCGTCATGAATTCCTGCTTACTTTTGCTGTTTTGCTTCCACCACAATACAATCACACTTCCTGCACACGTTTTTCTCTCTCTGTGTACTAGGGAACAGTTTCCCATTTCAAATCTCTGTTTTCTGCGTTATTCGCTTGATTATTACGCACTAGTCTACCGTTGTGTACAGCGCTGTATGGATATGTACTGATAAATGGTCAGTTCTGGTGGATTATGTATTACGTTGCATAATCCACCAGAACTAATACAAAGCGCCTATAATTTTCAAACCAGGAGGCTGTGGGGTTGCACTGGCTGCCATGTGCATTTTTTTGCTCGTCTGTTTAACACCATTCACAAATTTTCAAAACCATGTCCTCCATTCTGGTCAGTCCAGACGGTTGACCTGCACTGCCAAATTATCAGCTAATGTTAGCTAGCTTGGTCAGCAGCTGCATTCATATACTATATGGGTGCCACATAGAGACATGTTTTTTTGGTGCTTAGTAGTGTACTAATAAAATACAGTGGTCCCTCGCTATACAGTGGTCCCTCGTTCACGTTTCACCGCCTCGCTGTTTCACAGATTTTTTTGGTGCAATTTTGCATGCTTTTTATTTTTCTTACAGCGCATTCTGTCCTTTCTCCTGATTGGCTTAAGACCATTGTCAATCAGTCTCGTGCAGTGTCTCCTGTACGCTACAGAGTGCATTCAGCTTGTCAAATTTACATAAATCTTCGATCGCTAGCAGTGTAACTCTAAAGTGCTCTACTGTATGTACGTTTTCTCCCCCATACACACCCCAATGTCTACGAAATGTTTTGCACCGTCAAAGGCAACCGCAGGTGCCTTTGTTTTAAAATATAGATTTTTCTTTATATCTGTACCAATATGATTTTTCTTTATGCAGTAAAATTAGGCATTTTGACATGTAAGTCTCTAAGTAGCCTCAATTGGGGCCTAGAGGAACTGCATTTTCCACTTCTGCATGGCTCTGAAGGTTGCCACTGGTCATTATTAAAAAAAAATTTTTTTTTAACATTTATTGTTATAACCTTTCAGGAATATTTCCTAAAAGAGTTGACTCAACTGCATAAAAATGTGTGAATTTTGTGACTGGATAGTAGGGGTGGGGGAAAAAATCGATTCTGTGTAGTATCGTGATATTTTGTTTGCTAATAATGTATCAATACAGGGACAGCAGAAATCGATATTTTGTTACAAAAAAGGTTTTTGTGCTCAGAGCATGTTGATCCTTTTTCTGAGCAAGAATCCTGACATTCCTTCACTGTCCAAATGTGTTTAACTTTTTTTTGGCAGTAATAAACATGACAGTTTACTTATTTTACTTTAAAACATGTTTTATTTTAATTAAGTTTAAAGCTTTTTTATTTAATGTAAAATTATATTTTGTTTTAATTTACTTTCAAGTTCTTCAGTTGCTAAATGGGCTGCATAGTTTTCATAAATTGCATAGTTCAGAATAGCTATAATTGTACCAGATGGTTGCATTCAGTTAAGTTGCACTAGACTGTAATACAAGCTGTTCAGTTTGTCAACAATAAAACTGACTAAAATGAGAGAAAGACTGAGTGTGAGACTTTGATATTAGATAAAATGAATATTGATAAAGTTTACCTTTATGTACAGAATCTGAATATCGCAAAATATTTTAAAAAATTGCAATAATATCGTATTGTGCGTTAAGTATTGTGATAATATCGTATCGTGGGATGTATAGTGATTCTCACCTCTACTGGATAGAAGTGTAACTCTACCTTTAAGTTATCACCAAATTAGTAAGACTATTAGTTTAATTTGTTCTGTTTTTATTTGGAATTAAAATGCAATAATGCTATAATAAATCATTATTGGACCATTAAAATTGTAAGATTAACTCTGACCAATTCTTGTTTCCAGGATCGTTTCCTCCTGCAGTTCTCTATGCACGTAAAGACCGGCTCAACAGACCTGCACACGTGGCCACTAAGACTTTCCAGGCCTTGCGTATCTTTGTGAATGATGAGCTGAATGAACTTCACGCTGGCCTGTGTGCTGCCCAGACGTTGCTAAAACCCAGCGGACGTCTCTGTGTTATCACCTTTCATTCACTAGAAGATAGACTGGTCAAACGTTTCCTCCGGGGAGATGACTTGTCTAATCTGGATCACTTCAGCCAGAGGAAGCAAGGTACCAAGAAGGAAAACCTATCGCATGAAAAAAGTGACAGAAGTGTCTATTGGCTTCCTCTGCGAAGAAAAGTGATCACTCCAGAAAAAGACGACGTTAAGGAGAATCCTCGAGGACGCTCCTCCAAACTCAGGGCAGCACTCAGACGATAACTATTGAACATTAAATATAAGACAATAGAAGTTGTAGAAAAAAAGTTGGAGCTTTTTACATTGAACATTAAACTTCTACAAAGACTCAGGGTTAAATCTCAGTAGACTTGGTATCACTTTGTAACAAAGGAGCTCAGCAGAGATCAGCAGAGGTGTGGACTCGAGTCACATGACTTGGACTCAAGTCAGACTCGAGTCATTAATTTTATGACTTTAGACTTGACTTGAAAAAATGTTCTAAGACTTGTGACTTGACTTGGACTTTTACACTGATGACCTGGGACTTGAATTGGACTTGAACCGGTTTACTTGAAAAGACTTGATATTTCACCCCAAATATAAAATTTAACATGCATATTATATAGAGATTGAAAATGTGACGTCATTCAGGGGTAAACCGCAAAGGATTCTGGGAACTCGTGGCAAGAGGTACTAGCACACGCAGGCTTTCAATTGAAATCAGTCACACAGCGATAAAAAGAAACACAAAAATGGCAAGAAGCTGTTGTATTATTAACTGCAATAGCCGGTCGCATGACAGCCACGGGAAGCCGACGGGTAAAGAGATCGGTTGTTATCGGATTACGTCGTTGAAGAGAAATTGTTCAAGCCATGTTTCCGAAGTAACAAAGACGCGACTGGATTGCAGCCATTCAAAGATCAAATATAACGTCCCAGAACACTCCAGCTCACAGGTTAGTCTGCTCAAGCATTTACACGAAGGTCAGTGTTTTGTAGTAGTTAATACGTCATTTTCATAACATAATTGGTGATATAGGTTACAAGCAAGTCTGGCGCTGAACAGAAATTGTCGCGCTATGCTCCTTTATTTATTGTGCATAAATAGTGAATTGTCCTGACACAATATTGCGTTTCGCTTCTGTTATTATGGTACATTGACAAAAACATATACTTTTATTCACAGGATAAAACAGGTTTTATGTATCACTAATTGCCCAGTACGATTACAGCATACAGTATTATTGTCACTGCTACATTTCTGTAACGCGTACCAGAAATTATTTTCACTACTAATTAATTATCGTTGAGCTCAAAGGTCCTATTAATAAACGGTTAACGAATGTGTATTTATGAAGACGATTTGTGAGACTGGTAAACTTACCTTTGTTCGTACGATGGTCTTTCGTTCTACACGGTGCATTTCAAGGTCCTGTATCCATCCGTCGGTAAACTGTACCTGGGCTTGTTGCAGTGACCTGAAGTTACTAAACTTCATGAGTGTGTGCACTCACTCCAAGAACCGTATGATTATAAATATGCATATAAATATGCTACGATGAGATAGCTGACTTCATCTAACTAGCAAATGTTGTCCAGGCTACGTTGGTGATGCAGTGTTTTTTTAATATGTATGATATTTTTGTCATGCGATTTTAAAGCCGGTCCTACAACCGCATCCAAGAATAACATGCAGCTTATCTCAGAACTGTCAGTGAAAATTATTCTTGGAGCTAGGTTTAATTGAGCTGCATTTTAAAGAGGTGCAATTTCACAATTTGTGTATATTTTCTAAGTTCACTATTTTGTCATGTGTTGAGAAAAACACAGATTTTAAAATTACATGGTCTAATATTTACATTTAGCATATAACTGCAACATGCTTTTTTCGTTGTTGTTTTTTTGTTTGTTTTTTAAAGACTCGAAAGGACTTGAAATTCAAAATTTCAGACTTGTGACTTTACTCGGACTTTTACACCAGTGACTTGAGACTCGACTCTGACTTGCCTGACATTACTTGAGACTTGACTTGAGACTTGAGGATAAAGACTTGAGACTTACTTGAGACTTGTAAAACAATGACTTGGTCCCACCTCTGGAGATCAGTGTGTTACTGTAAGCTACTAAGTGGACTTTAGACATGAGGTGATTGTACTGTTTCCTATTTGCTTTGTAAGGAACATAAAAAATTAATTTACAGTTAAAATTCTGAATTAAATGGAACAAATGTTTACCAGTGTTGTTTTCATATTCCTAGTTGTTGTGAACAACCTGTTTTTTTTCTGACAAAAACAAGTAAAGAAAAACTAATGCACGAGGACAAAAACTGTGATGAAATGTATTGACACTAGGGATGGGTACCGGTATCATGGCACCAGTTCTGACATAAACGGTAGTAACCAGACCAAAAAGCAGCGCACATTTCGGTGCTTTATTTCGGTGCTTTTTTTCCCCTGAGATGTCATACACTTTGGATTCCAGCCAATCATTTTACCAATCATTTTACCTTAGCGTAGTAGGCGGGCCCAGGTACGTACGTTCTTTTAGAGCAGAGCTACAGATTAAAAATGCCCAAGACGAAGCGGTCAAAAGTCTGGCTGTACTTCACAGCAAAAGATGCAAACTCAGCAGCCTGCAACAAGTGCTTTAAGGTGATACTGTGCAAAGGAGGTAACACCTCGAATCCGATGAAACACCTGGCGACGCATAGCGTTTTTTAAAAGCTGAGAAATGCACCGTATTTGATAGCTTGCTGCGAGACCTCACATCGAGCACATTTACTGCGGGTGGGTTGCCTGTTATCGGACCCGGAGTTAGCGACATCCCCCAAAAACCCAACGAGGAGAGTCCTGGCCCCTAGCCCTGCCAGTGTAGCAGAAATGATGACCGATGATGATGGCAGCAGCAGCCGTTCTTCTCTGGGTCAGTAGCTTAATGTTGTTCGTGTGTAATTTCCGCTGAGTAGGCTAACCATGTTATTAAATTAATGAACGTAAGGTGAATTAGCAAACACCGTTGTAGTTGCATGCGGCTGTCTTCCTGTTTGATGGCAGATACTCCCTTCACCCGGGCAAAAAGGCTAAAATGACCAAAAAAAAGTGGAAAACAGCTAAACATGAGAGGTTTTTGGACAAAGTATGTGTTCTTCATTCTTTAGGCACCGGTTTGAGCACCGTTTAAGCACCGGCACAATTTCAAAAGTACCGGTTTGGCACCGGTATCGGATAAAACCTAAACGATACCCATCCCTAATTAACACTTTGGTAAATGAATAAAAATGGATGAAAATATTCTGGAGAGACGAGGTCCAATCAGAATTAATTAATTTGTTAGGAAGGTGGGAGGAGTTAGGGGAAGTGATCCAATCAAAAGTAATCTTGTGAAGTAAGATGAGATTTTTTTGGTAAATGGTACGGCTAGCGCTCATGCTCTCTGTTTCTCATGAAAATGTGACAAAATGTCAACGCTTGGGAAGAAGACAAGTCATATGGAGCCATTTCGCATTTGATGTCACAGAAAATAAGACGCTTTTTAAACCGTGTGGAGGGAACTTGATAAGTGCTTAGCCTTTATATTTTAGTCAACTGTTGTTACCTCGGTCTGCCTTACCGGAGTCATGTACTACCCACAATGTTGGGGAGTAACGGAATACATGTTGGAGGCCGGTGTTTTAGGAGCGGCAGAAGATCTCATCAACAGGCAGTGTTGGGGAGTAACGTAATACATGTACCACCGTTACATATTTAAAATACAAAATATGAGTAACTGTATTCCATTACAGTTACCGTTTAAAAAGGTGGTATTCAGAATACAGTTACTTAGTTGAAATAAAGGGATTACACGGCGGTCTTTTCCTGTTTCATATGCTAGGCTGTCCCGTCCTTTTTTTGGTAATTCCACACTGGTGGAAACTCAAACAAAACACGCATTAAGAGGCTCTAATGTCTGTGTCTCAATCTTGCGGCCTATGTCACCTCTACTTGCAGCCCGCATAAGGACGTGACGAAATATTTTTTAAAATTATTGTTCAAAAATTTTTTTAATATGAAGGCAATAGGCAGAGTGTTACAGGCATAGCCCTAAAGAATGTAGCCTCATGGGCAGTGTAGTCCAGTTGTAAGTAAGCTATGAAGAATTCTGTGCTTAAACAGTGTTGGTCAAGTTACTTGGAAATAGAAATTAGTTACTAATTACTGATTACTTCTCCAATATAGTAATCCCATTACTTACTGATTACTTATTTTCAAAAGTAATTAGTTACTTAGTTTTTGTTTTTTTTAAACATGATGCACAACCTGAATGCATTATAAAGAAATAGACCTTTCAGCCCAATTCTATTTTTTTTCTGCGTAATCCATCATATAAAATTGAGTCAAATGAAAAAGTCTCTTTTTAAAAATTGTTTTATTAGTTTTAGTCTTTTAACTTTATGCAACATTCTCTAGAAGAAATTTGTTTTCTGCATATAAATTAATATAAATTATTAATTAATATAAATTATTAATATTATTAATATTAATATTAATATTAAGCATATAAATTAAACTTCACATCTGAGCAAGCGCCTGGCACGCTGCCTTGGGAATGTGAAATTAAAAGAGAAACCTGACCGCTGTGGCACCGGGCAAAGTTCCTGCCAAACAGGTTAAAATAGACTTAAGAGCGACAGGACTTGGTGCTGCTGAATCTTTGATTTATTTATTTTTTTGCTGTGTTTTATTTGCATCTCTTTGAAAGAGTGAGTGTAAACACAATTTTTTGTCCTGGAATATGCAGAAAATAGATTTATCATGTCTACGTTTTCATGTTATCCGGTTTTATTTTAAAAGAGTCATGTGTTCTTTTGTCACTGTGTTTAGTTTCACTTGTGATGTTATTGTTTAATTTCAGTCAGCTGTTTCCCCATGTGTTCTCAATTCTCCTGATCACCTGCTGTGTATTTAAGTCCTCTGTTTTCTGTGTTTCATTGTCAGGTCGTCTGTTATACTTACCACAGCCACCACAGTCTTCATAGTCTTTGTCGTAGTTTCACACTGCGTTTCATAGTTGATCATAGTTTCATGTGTGAAGGTTCTCAGTCATCCAGGTCATCGTAGTCTAAGGAGCTTGGAAGGAAAAGCGTCTGGACTTCTTTGAGTTGCTTGAAGACGTTTCACCTCTCATCCGAGAAGCTTCTTCAGTTCTAAGGGTAAATGGCGGAGAGTCCCAGATTTAAACCCAGTGGGAGTGCCCCCCCCCAAAGAGGGACAAAGGACCCCCTGATGATCCTCTACCTAATCACATGAGCCAAGGTGTGAAAGCGGGTGTAGGTCCCAATCAGCCAGGGTTTCGGGTGAGCTCATTGTGAAACCTGGCCC